GCAGCGGGGGCGGGATGGCGTTGCACGGGTCGAGGTTTCGAGAAGAGCTGGAGGCGTTTCCTGGCTTGCAGAATTGCAAGGTTGCAGAAATATTTCTTTTGCAGCAGGCGCTGTTTTATTGAAAGTGGGACTTTTAGTAAAAACGACAACACAACAGGAGGGCATGCCGACGAGACCTATTTTTTTTTCCTTCTCCAAAACGAACGACGACGGAATAAATTGGCCCCAATAAGTGCGCTGAAAAGGTGGAGAGGTAGCCAGCCGAGGCTTTAAGCTCATTATTAATTGCAATTATAGCTCTGGGATAAAAACTATTGAGAAGAATGATGTTTACATATACCATCGTATAGATTTGCCTGGCATCTTTTGCAGATTTCTGGGGGGAAATGTCCCCATCCGTTACAAAACAAGAGTGCAAGGTATTTCTATTCTTGGGGTATTCTGGAAATTTTGCAGCACCAGAAACATGATTCACCACTGTAGTGCCCTATGGCTCATAGAAGCTAGAAAGCAGTATATTTGAAGGATTAGGTATGTGTGTTATTAATTTTATTTTTTGTTTGTTTATTTGTATACTCCCATTTTTCCCGACAAAGGGGGGCCCAAGGCGGCTCACAGCATTAAAATTCACAGTTAATTGTGTTACAAAGTCAGTGTTGACTAGTAAGGATCCCAGTCTCTCCCTGCAGTCTGTGGGATTCTGACAGTAACAATTCACAGCGTTAGTTATTTATGAGATATTTGAAAACCTTTGTTTGTTTTTTGCTTTGAAACTCATGTGGCAGAGTTGAGTTTGGAGAGTGCACTAACTAAAAGATATACATCTGGAGACCCCTGGGCAAAAAAAAATATATGATACTACATGAAAAAACAAAACAAGATCTCTGTTTACATTAACTACCATTACTCCCTAAATGAGTGCAGAATGAGAAAGAATATGGGTGGGAGTCCTGTTTGGGGCTGCCACTCATGTTTAGTTATGAGTAGGGTGGATGTACCTTCTGCAGGTGTAGAAATTAACTTTCTTATGATATGTTTTGTTATCATCGGAGTCAGCAGGAAGCACTGGATTTTATGATGGTTGCTGTTGGCCACCATTTTGTTTTGTCACTGGCTATTTTCCAGAGAGTTCTGTGGAAAATGTTGGCTGCCATTGTGGACTGTAATCCTCCTCTGCTCCAATATAGTAGAACAGTGCAGAATCAAGGGCACCTTAGAAGAACAAAGGAGTAATTGCTGGTTACTGGTGAAATTGGCTGCTCTCTGGTTCTTATTGGCAGCAAAACTTAGTTTTTTAAAAACAAAAACAGTGACGGAATCTACAGGCATACCTCAGTTTATGAAATCAATGTGTTCTCCGGGACATTTTGTAGTGCAAAAAATTTGCAAACTGAAATGCGATTTCCCATAGGAATGCATACATAGGGGTAGCACTATAAACCTCCCAGGCACAATGCAAACTTGCTTCGTATTGTGGAAAAAAATCGTAAACCGAGGCATTATTTTCAATGGATTTTCGTTTGTAAACCGAAAAATACGTTAACCAAGGCATTCGTAAACCAAGGTACCACTGTACTTGCTTATGAAAATTATTTACAAACATAAGTGGAGAATACACTTCTGTCATTACAGCCAGGATATTGAATGTGGTGTTGTGAATAGAGTGACAGACTCGGGAGGCCTGGGTTCAAATCCCCACTCAACCATGGAAACTCAGTGTGGGAACTGGAACTAGTAAAACCACTCTTTAACTATCTCACTTACCTTGAAAGCCCTTTTAGGGTCTCTATACATTGGTTCTGGTTTGACGACACATAACAACATTCTTAGAAATAGATTACGGCCTCCATTGAATCCATGGGACTTTCCCAAGCTTTGATTTATCAGAATCCCCGTAATTCAGTGGGTTTACTCTGACTGAGAATAATGATTTGATTTATCCCTAAATCAAGTCTGCTTATAAGAATTGGTAGTATTACTTTGGAGGAGGGAATACGTCGGAGGAACAAATACAGTGGTACCTCGCTAGACGATGCTAATCCGTTCCAGTGAAATCGCTGTTTAGCGAAATCATTGTCTAGCTAAAAGCATTTCCCCACTGGAATGCATTGAAACCTGTTTAATGCGTTCCAGTGGGGAAGAATCGTCGTCATCTAGCGAAGATCGGCCATAGGAAAGCCGTTTTGCGAACCGCCGATCAGCTGTTTAAATTGCTGTCTTGCAAAGCTTAGATCCCGAAAACACCTGTTTTGCAATGCGGAGGGAGCTGTCAAAATCGTGGTAACTGTCTAGCGAGGCACCACTGTATTGCCTTTTAGTGGTGGTTCCAAGTAGGGGTGGATACACAGGGCCCTCCATATGCTGTTCAGACTGCAACTCCCATCTACCTTAGTAACTACAGCCAATCATAAGGAGTGATGGAAAGCTTAACACACACTTTTGTGGAATATTTTTAAAGCAATGTACATCAAACCCATTCAATTTAACAATGAGAGGCTCATAAAGTACACACGCATTTTTTCAACAATTCAGCTGCATTTTTACTGCTTTATTTGCCTCCTTCAGTGTTACACATACATATATTTTGTGTGTGTTTGTGATCTAACCAGAACGAGTACAGTCAAATAGAAGATGAGACACTGGATAGAACTTCAAGGTTCCTTATCCCTCCATTTGTGTTTGTGTGTGTTTGCGTGTCTGTGTGTACACGGGCACCCAAATAGAAATGGATGGATAAGGACTCTTGAAGGTCCATCCTATTTGACTGCACCTGTTCTGGTTAAATTTCGCTTCAATGTAATTAATTAATGAAAGTGCCCAGGAACAGAGTCTTATATCAATAGTTTTGTCCCGTGAACACAGTAAAACCCTTTTGATGTATTAGCGCTAAACATGTAATTAGCCCTCATAACAGCAAACTTACTTGATCTTCAGTTGACACAGGGTAATCCTTTAAGCTGCCCGGGTTCTCTCCGGCCGGTTCTTTTAGAATCTTCTCTTATTCCAGAATGTTCCATTGTCTGTCTTAGACTGCCAGCAGAGAAGGGCTGACCCAAGACCTTTTGCCACCCGAGGCAATGCAAGAGTTAGTGCTCTTTGTATCCATGTTAATCCCAATGGATAGTCGCTAAAACCAACAGTTACTCCTCAAAAATACTGGTGTTTACCTGCACAGGGAGATTAAGTCTGTACGTTATTCATCTCCAGCTCTGTGGAATGACGGCAGGTGGCACTCAAATCAGCCACATTTTCATTGCTGCTCTTTACTGGATCTTGCAGGATAAGAGAAAAGCAGGCAGGCTATTGCCGACACAGAATGTAGAAAATACGCTCAACACATGAGTTCAGGTGGAAAGGGAGGAGGGAACATATCAATTTCCCTAAAACTTGTAATAATCCATCTGATCATCATCATGTTCACTTTAAAAATCAGCTCGTTTGCCAGTGTGCACTGATGCACAGTATGCACACAAAAGCTCGTGAAAAATAAAAACTAGTTAGTCTTAAATTTATTTATTTATTTATTTCATTTATACCCCGCCTATCTGGTCAAATGTGCCCGGCTTTCTCTTGTGCTCTAATGGACAAACCCAGATGTTAATCTAGATTTCTTAAAGCTGGAAGGGGGCATTTATAAGATCAATGCAAGTCACTTGAGGAGATCACAGAGTAGTGTATTGGTTGCAGCGATTATTGATGGCGTATGAAATGTCATTGTCATGAATAAATACGTATCTGTGTTTATCAGTTTTTAACAATG